GATGAAAGAGTGGTTTCATGCATGCGTCAGGATTGTACAACCACGAAACTCAGTACATCTCAGCAATAACCTGAGGGTCACGTGTTTCCTTCTGAAGGTGGTAAGGCACTGAATGAGATACATCACCCTCCATGTGGATATCCAGGATTGAGACCACTTCTGCAGGCGGCTTGGGGCAAGATTCCCTGAAGAGTCCCAGGCGCACGCATTGTCATCATGGAAGCGCTCAAGCAAACCCCATGAGTATTAACTCATGATGGAGAGAAGTGACCCTTCCCTCCTTGCTTTCAAAGATGGGAATCACATCTTTAGCTACAACTACCATTTAACAGGACATATAAAATCTTTGGAATTCACAGTCTGCTAGGATAAGGCCCAAACGTACATCTCCAGCTTTCTTCTTTCTCTCAAAGTCCTGTTCTCAATTGCTGCACAAGCTTAGGTGTCCCTCATTACCTAAAATTTTACATGCCTAAAACCAAACTCATTTTCCCCAAGTTGTCCCATCTTGTTATTTGATTCCTTTACAATAAAGTGCATCCATAAGTTCCTTTCTCTTCAATAGTTACCAACCAACGTCGAGTACTTGTTATCCATACCACAGCATGACAGGAATATAAAAATTCTCTTGAACACATTCTACTTCGTCCACGCTTGTATCACACACTTCCTAACCCAATGATGTGGTATCACAGCTCTGCTTGCCTGATTTCTCACTGTTTATCATTTCTAGCAATCTCTCCTGAGAATCACTCCCATACCAGGAATGCTGCATACAACAGTAACTTTTCTGGTCGGGACTCATAGTCCAGTACAAAGGAAGGAAAAGTCCAGAGGCTTAGCCTGCTGAAAAGGTTTCTGGCCAATAAACTTAGCTTCTTGGCTTATGGTTCTATAAACACATAAAAGGTTTTCCTTCTGTCAAATAGGCTCATACTCCTCCACATCTGAATTTTAAGCTCTCTGCATATCCATGTTCCTGCATGGATATCCATCCATCCAATTCAGCTGTCCTCTTCTTATCAAATGCTACCTACTCTGCAAAACCCAGCTCAAACCCCACCCACTTCTCTAGCTTGCCAGTTCTGGATCACTCTTTTTTTTTTTTTTAACATTTATTGTGTGTGTGTGTGTGTGTGTGTGTGTGTGGCCAGCTCAGCCCACCAGGGGGCGCGGCTGGCTGGCATATGGTGCTGGGGGATCGAACCGCGGTCCCTGTGCTTTGCCAAGCTTGTTCCAAGTAGGTGCTTTAGACCACTAAGCCATCTCTCCAGCCCTCTGGATCACTCTTGACATGTGGCTTTTCTTCTACAGCGACCTGATCCTTTTATTGAATCAATGTGACTATGGGAATACAGGTTAACATCTTTTATCCCAAGTGCTTGGAACCACAAGTGTTTTTAATTTCAGATTTTTTAATATTTACATATACCTGATGAGGTATCTCGGGGATGGAACCCAAGGGTAAACATGAAATTCATTTATGTTTCATTTATGTCTAATATATGCAGACTGAAGGTAACTTTATACACTGTTTTTAGTGCACCTGGATTTTGACCATAACACGTTACTGAAATCAGGAGAACTTCCGACTCGAGGCATCATGTCAGCATTCGAAGTTTCAGCTCTGGGAGCACTCAGGGCTGACACTTCTAGATTAAGGCTCTCCTGTCTATACTTCTAGATTAGGGCTATCCCATCTATACTTTTAGATTAGAGCTCTCCCGTCTATATTGAAACTCTCACAGATTCACACATGGCCTGCCCCGTTCACTTACAAGATCCTAGAAGGTGAGGTTTCCTTACGAGGACAGTAAGTCTCCTTGGTCAGCAGCTGCCCTAACCTATCATGGAGCCCTGTACTTAAATACTCAGCATGTATTCACAAAGAATATTGATTCAAGAAGACTGTGGAACACTTCGTTGCTTAGTTTCCATAAAAATGAGTAGATCTGACAAGATGGTTTAGATTGCTACCTCTTTTTCCAGATATACATTATCCCTACATCTTCTCACCCCTATTGTCAGTAAAGGTCTAGAAATATTAATATAGTTATAAACAAGTTGCTACATTCACTTTTATATCAAAGCTCTAATCACGCATACGGCTGATTTAACAGCTTACTTACCTGCCACCTACAGCAAAGTCAGAGATTGCATAATAATAGGACTTGAGGACTTTGGGGTCATTAAACACTTCATCTCCAAAAGTGTTCAGGCGATTTAGAGTTACTCGGATGTCAGTGGCCGTTACCCATTCCTGTCAGGAACAAAAACAAAACATTAGAGAAGTAGATACACAAGCACAGAGCAGCAAGTCATTGCATTGGTCTAGATCAGCGAGGGAGAGCCCTTCAGAGCTTCCAACGATAGCAAGAGCCCTCTGCGGCACGTGTGCCACAGGTCCACCACCACTGGTCTAACCCAAGCAAATATAGTTTGTTTTTGTCTTTACCTCCCCTATAACATCACCTTCTCTGTGAGCTTTTCCTTTACCTAAACTTACCACCCCTCTCCAACTCCAATTTCCCTTTCCTGTTATACTGTCTCTTTTTTTATTGTAGAAGGAAAAAAAAATTTCAAAACAAGATAATAGCAGAAGGGCCAGGGATATAGCTCAGCAGTGTAAGTGCCTGCCTGGCAAGCACACTGTCTGGAGTTTGATCCCCAGCCCCCCCAAAACAGTTAACAGTAGAGTAACAATAATTAATACATTGCATATGGTCATCTTCAGAGCACAAGATATAAGGATGAGATACTGTCCAAACAATATTAGCACAAAGCTTTCTTTTCAATGAGCTAAAAGGAACTAGCACTATATCTACTATCTATCTATCTATCTATCTATCTATCTATCTATCTATCTATCTCCCTTATCACAGTTTCTTTTTTCTCTTCAACAGTTTTTTCCCAATTCACAATACCTATTGTACATTTTGGGTCCTATTTACTTGTTTAGCTTCTCACACCAGTGAGACTATATATATATGATGTTTAAACAGAAACACTAAATCTACTGGAAGAGAAAATAAAGCAGAAATCTTGAAGATACAGGTGTAGGCAGAGATTTCATGAACGAAACCCAGACCATATGGGAAATATTGTAAGGAATCAACAAATGGGATATCACTTCACTAAAAAGCTTTTGTACACATTACCTGTTTCTATACATCCTGCCCTCATAATCTGACTGTGAACAGCGAGTGGGCAGGAAATGTTTGTTTTCTTCTCTATAATCCCCCTACTGTTTACCACACAATAATAGTATTTGTTGAGTGAATGAACTGAAAAAACCCTCTGATCAAGTTGGTAGCTGAAGAATGAAAGTTATAATATAGTTTCCCACCAAGTTTTATGAGTGGTAGGTAAGCCCTAACAGTAAGTGCCCTTGCACTGAGCTAATTTTATTAGATGTTACGTATGCGGTAGGCTGTTATCACCATAATCCCCATGAATCATATCTGCTAGAGCCACACCCTGGACTATCTTTTTCTACTTGTTGTGTGACTGGTTTTGGAGAGGGGGCAGCAGCAGATGTGACACAAGCAGAGGCTTGATAAGTACTTGTGCCCAGGGACTTGTGCTCCTGGCACCCTTCCTCCACCATGAGGAAAAGCCTGGTCTCACCAGCTGAGGGTGACAACCACAGGGAGGAATAGGCCTGGCTTCCTCGGCTGAGCTGCTGGGTAAGAGATCCCAGCTAGCACAGAACCATGAGAAGGGACACACATGGGGTGTCTAAATGTAAGTTGGGGGTACAGTACTGCATATGACAATCCAAAGACATCATTTCTGCTCCTGGCCTCAGGGATCTTCCTGAAAACTACATGTCAGAATCACTTTCAGGGATGGACAAGCAAGTGCCAAGGTAGAGGGATCTATGCTGCTAGAAGCTTCCATATGAGACTGGAGGCACAGCCCTGACTAAGAACCACTGCTTTAAACTCCACCAGACACCTGGCGTACAGGGCAACGCGAAGAACTCATAAAAACTCATCTCCATGCAGCTCCAGGTGTAATTAGAAAGAAGAGCTGATGATTTCACTGTCTCCAAACTTGGAACTCAATAACAACACCCACTCACGGCCACAACTGTAGGAACCTGTTGGCCTTCTGTAATGCAAACAGCTAAATATATCTCTGTTTAATGCCTACTGTATCTTCTCCAGGCTTCATCTTTATCACAGCTGACAAGAGCTAGTTTTGTTTTGTGTGGTGTTTTTTTTTTTTTTTTTAATAAAATGAGCAGACTCTGGAACTTTATAGGTTGGAAACTCAGTTTTGCCACATAAGACGGATTCAGGGCAAGTTAAATCCTCTCTGGGTCTCTGATTCCTCATCTGTAAAATGGAGGTAATAAGAGTACCTCAGAGTCATTATGAGAGTTAAAAGAGTTAATACATCTAAAGGGCTTAGAATAGTGCTTGCCACATCACAGCACAGTAAGTACATAATAAATGCTGATTATTATTATAAATAATATCAACACATGCTTAGGAATACTCATATAGTGAAACCAGGAAAGGTCTTCTCCTCTGTCTGGGACACTACAGGTTTGGAGGGAGATGATGTCTGCCTGTCTTCTCTGCTGTCTTCTCGTTGTCAGATCAGCTGTCAGATCCACTCGCCACCCTTGCACCAGCACTATGAGAGCCACAGCTCTCACACCCTGCGACATGGCATCAAAGCTCCTGCGTGGATGAACTGCGGCATCACTGCATTCTACCGCGTGTAGTTACGCCACGACGAGCAGCAGACCCCAGAACTGCTAGAGCTGGGCAAGCTGCTCCAGACAGGCTGGTGGGCACACCGTTAACAAAGGACGAGAAAAACCATTCTCTGCAGCACCACTCCGCCTACTGACTACAGTGCTCTATCTCCCCAGGACAGGAAAATGCAACAATCTGTTGCTGGAAACAAGAAGGATGGCAAGTGTTTGCTCCATTATCTCTCCCTGAGGATTTCAGTCCTCTGCTTTTTCATCTTTCCATCATTTATTTTGAACATGCCTGATCTCCTAGTACTAATATAAACATTTTTCTGAAAGACCTTGG